TGCTATGGGTCAGAACTGACTTGATTGCATTTAACAACAGAATAAGGAGCTGACAAATGTTTTCTATAAAAGGTCAGGTAATACTAGGGTTTTCACAAACACCATCTCTGTTACATACTAATCTTTTTTTTTTTTTTTTACAATCCTTTAAAAATGTAAAAACCATTCTTAGCTCAGCCCCTATAAAAATTAGGCCACATCCAGACTTACCTTTGTTCAGTTTTCCCACCTCTGCTTTAGACTATTCATATTATCTTTTTTGCTACATCAATTCCAGTGTATTTTCTTCCTTCAAATATTTGCTCAAATGTCACTCTCTAAACATGTTCCCACTTAGTCCCCTATAGATAATGGGGCTTTGAAAAAACCATAGAAAAAAATTCCATTATCTTTTAATACCATTTTCCATGGGCTTTTTGAAGCTCACTCTGTAGCATACTGTATAGCATAGTGTTAGCACCTAATAGCCTATACAATTATATTACCTTAGCCTCATTATAAGGTCCATGAGGGCTGACTTTTTTTTCCTCACTGAAGAATCTCCTGCACCTTGAACAGTGACATATTACTTGTAGGCTTTCAATAAATTATTCTCACACTTATAAAACAAGTACTATTGGGAAATATGGAGTCCTGGTATGGCACTGTTGGATAAGCACTAGATTGCTAACCACAAGGCTGGTGGTGGAAATGCTACACAGGGTTGCTATGAGTCAGAAATGACTTGATGGCACTAAACAGGAGTCCTGGTGTGATTTTGTGGGTTAATGAGCTGGGCTGCAAAGTCAGTTTGAATTGCAAGGTCAGCGGTTCAAGATCACCAGTTGCTCCTCAGAAACCATATACAAGATTGCTATGGGTCAGATAGATTCAATGGCACTTAACAAGAAACAACATGGGAAGTATAAATGAACAAACAGAAAAATATTGAAGGACAAAAGTAACAAAGGGAACACTTTCATGTAAAAACTCTTTCATGTACTCAAATTCAAAAGACAAGTTAAATTTTTAAGCATTTTCTTACTATACCACAAAGCAAGAAGTTTTGGTGTAGCACTGTAGTGATAAGCGCAGGACCACAAATCGCTTTGAACCAAGTCAGCAAGTTCAAACTCACCAGGCGCTCTTTGGAAACCCCTATACAGGGTGACTGAGTCAGAACTGACTCAACAGCACGTAACAACAGCAACCACAAAGCAAGGTTAGTTCTGACTCATTTTAATTCCCTTGAAAGTAATTTCACCATTACTTATTAGCTTCTTTAATAAGAAATTTCAGCTGCTGTTCTCTGCAAACCTGTCTGCTTTGATCGCATCTGGATGTGTTGTGTTCCCTACCAGTTCAACTCACTGATCTAGTCTGGCAACTTTTAAGTTTGGCAAAGCAAGAAGTTAGTTACTTTGTCTCTTCTATAGCTCCAGCTCCCAACATTTCATTTTTATAACCTTCCTAATATTATAATCTTTACTACTTTGTCTTTTACCATTCAACATAAACAAAGCATAAAGTTAATTCTATTGAATACTAACTTTATACCTAATGTTATATACTATTAGGCTCAGTGATTAATCATGAAATTACTTGAAGTTGCTATGAGGTTTTACAAAGTTTCTACCTGTAAGGAATGAGACAAGCAAGACTTGCCTTACTGTAACCCAAACATGTACTTGGTAAGGTATTGAGGCAATAACTTTGGGAATTTTGTAAGCTCCATAGTCCTGGTGTGGCACTGTGGGTTAATACACCAGACTGCAAGGCCATTTGAACTGCAAGGTCGGTGGTTCAAGCTCACCAGCTGTTCCTCGGAAACCCTATACAGGGTTGCTATGGGTCAGAACCGACTTGATGGCACTCAGCAAAAACAATGGTCATTTAGATCATGGCTACTACATTTCTAAACTTAAAGCACTGTTGGTACTGTACTGTCGAGTTGGTTCTGACACAAAGAGAACCTGTATAGGGCTTCCCAGACTGTAAATCTTTAGAAGAGCAGAAAGCCTCATCTTTCTCCTGCAACACAGCTAGTGAGCTCAAGCCACTGCACCCCACACTAAAGTATAAAAACCCATTAGAGAACAAAATGTTTTCTACTAATACTGATAACTGATAATGATAAATCACAATACTAAATGTATTAATACTAATGTGGGAATTATAAATAGCATTAAGGTAGTCTTAATTACAAAAACTACTGATGTATAAAGGAAAGCTTATCAGAAAGGATGTTTTCTAAAAACTCTTTTATCCAAGTTATTCTTTACAATTTTACTTTTTCAATGGCTAGAACTCTGTCAATTTTAATCAGACAAGTAAATTTGACATCTAAAAGACAAACTGTTTTGGACTCGTTATCATGAAAATCAAGTTAAACTTGGTAGAACCAACCCAAAATCAAACACACTGACATAAGTTGATTCTGACTCATAGCAATCAAGGCTGTAAATCTTTATTGGCGCAGAAAGCCTCATCTTTCTCCCACGGAGTGGCTGGTGGATTTGAATCCTCAACCTTGCAGTTAGCAGTCAAGTAAGTGCTTATCCTACAGCACCACCACAGCTTGGCAGAACTAAGAGGGCAAAACCCCTTAAACATTTACAAGAACCCAACATATCCACCCTTTTTGTTCTTATAAAAGCTATGTGACTGCCAAATTTAATCACTTTATACCATATTTCCATAAAAAATAACAAGCCCAATAAACCCGCCCCATTTATCTAGTTCAAACGAGTAACATAACGTGAGAAACTGCACTGTGTAATTCCTTTATTTTCTGCATGTTAGTGCTTTTCCAACACTACAACCATAAAGAACACAATTTCAAGAACTGTACTTTTTAGTTTGGGGAGATCACAGTCTACAGACTTTTTTACTTATATTAGACAAGATTAACCTCATTCAAAACTTACTGCAGTTTATAAATTCACATAAATACAGGTTGATGCAATTAAAAACTTCAAGGGTTTTTTTTGTTTATTTTTTAATTCTAAGTTCTTAGATTATAACTTTTTCTGCAGGCTATAATTACCTGCCCCATGATCACCAATAGTTATTAAGGTTTGATTTAACTACATTATCAACTTTAATCCTTAAAGAAAATGTGTGAATTACAATTTCTTACCAAAGGATTTAAGTAAGGTCTTTCCAATTTTCAAGTATTTGCTTCCCCCACCCCTTTGTCAGACATTTCAAATAAACTAAAAATAACCACATCTCACCTGCAACATTCAAAACCAATCACTTGATGTATAAAATTTTAACTATGTCCCCAACTTTAAGACACACACACAAAAAATGGCTGCCTACCAAACTGTCACAAGTTAGAAATACTACATTTAAAAATTAACATGAGGGTTTCAAGTTTCCTCCAGTTTAGGCATTTATACCTTTGTGCTTGTCTTGTTTCTGGATGTTCCTACAGCATTTATACTTATATAATTCATGTTTATGTACCTTAAAATGTAATCATTTAAAACACTGCAAATTAAATTTTATGGTGGAGCTTTGGGAATTTTAAAAGCAACTAAAATGTTGTTAGATGCATTTGTCAGCCTCATTTCTCAATACTTTCACTAAAATAAAATTGGTAACTTTATACTTTAGTTGCATCTTGAATTTACAACTCCCTTTACACTATTGTTGTTAGCACCTCTTCTCATCTGCTTTAAAGAAAATGTATGTCAACAAGTTTTACTTTGAATAGCTAATTTTTTTTACCACCTTATGCTTTTCATACATCTTTGGTAAAAGCTCCATTGTACAATATGGCCAAAGCATGAAGGACCAATACTGTCCAACTCTACCATGATAACCCGCTCAATTTTAGTTTTCAGATACCCTCATAAACAAAACCTTTACCTGTATACTGCCTTCAGTCATTTCTGAAATTCCCTATATTTAATTCCTTGAGGATCTCGAGAATTCATCCTTAAGGCTATACAAGAACCAGATGCTGCTTCACAATTCTGTACCAAGCATTAGCATCTGGTTCCAAGAATTATCATACTGGTCTCGTCCAAATTAATGGTCCTACCCAGTTAAGCAAGTAATCTTATTAGGTTCTGGATATCACCAGTGAACACACTGTTTACCCTTCAAAAATCAGTTTACATTCATTGTCATCTGTAGGTTCTTTCTCTTCATCCTACTTCCCCTTTAATTGTCATTCCGTAAGTTTACACATCATTCACTCATCACATTTCCTTCCTTAAAGGAGATGGTGTATTACTGAACCAACAGGATACGTGATTTACTACTCGCATGAGTTAATCTTATATTTTAACAAAATTAAATATCTTTTTTAAAACATCTTTTCCAGTGTTCTAATCAAGGGATAGATCATTGTGTAAAAAATGATTCATATGTTCATCTTAACCAGTTGCTGCAATGTGAAAACAGGAATGTATATTTTTTTCAACTACATAAAATGTGCATATTAATTTGAATTGCTCAATGCTTTATTAAGGAGCAAAGTAAATATTTTAATAATTTAAAATCTACTGATCTTATACATTTGGAGCAAGGAAAAAGTCTATATTCCAGATTTGCCAAAAAGTCACTTATAAACTATCTAACAACTATTTAATCTGTGTATGGCAAACACCATTATTGCTCCATTTTCTGTAAAGTAAAAAAAAAAAAGTAAAGCACAGCAAAGTTATTAACTTTGCAGTAAGATCTGTGCCCTTGACAAGTTACACTTCCAGATTTAATGCAGCATAGTTAGCTATGTTATAGGTAACTAGGGTTTTATCCCTACTCATGCATGATGTATATTTCCGAACTGAACAGCTGACATTTCAAAGAATTTCTTACATTACCTGTTTAACATACTGATGTGCAACTGGAACATATTACAATATTACTCATAATTTGCCACTGTGGGCTAGGTTTACTATACTGGTTTTAGATATAAGAGGTCACATTTGAAATTACTAAGTTTAAATTAGAACTCATAAGGGAGGAGAAAAGGCCTTAAATATAAAAGACAAACGGCAGTTTGATTAAGCAATAATTTTCAGTTTACTAGATGAAACAGACTTGCAACATAGTCTGCTTGAATGCAAAGGAAGCCATCTACAGCAAGTGATAAAGAAACTGGGCAAAAAGGAAAAAAGCATACATTAGGGAAAAAAAGATTCTCTAGAAATAAAAAAATCAAACCATTATTATAAAGGACTTTACCAAGAATTACTATATTTCCCCCATCCCATTTGCTGGAAGTCAACAAGAGCATCTAGCATTTTGTGTTCATGTCAAATGTCAGATCAGAGCATCCTAACGCAAAGCAAAAGGAAAAACAAACTAACAAAAAAGAACCCCCCAAACCCCATCAAATCGTGGAATAGTTAACTCCATGAGTTCAAATTCAAAAGAGAAAGTGGCGATTGAAAGAGGTGATGGTGTCGATAATCCTATGAATGGGTTTTTGATTTCTCTCCTGGGGGGGATGGGTGGAGAATGCTCATTAGGATTTGTAGTTAGAGGTTAACCATGTGAGCCCCTCATAGAGTCCATCCCCTGAGGTGGCACAGGAGGGCTGCACATACCAGTTCCTGTCCCGAATCCGGGTCAGGCCCAGTTTCTCCTGGATCTCATGGGGTTTCATGGCATCAGGCAGGTCCTGCTTGTTGGCGAAGATGAGGATTATGGCGTCCCTCATCTCCCGGTCATTGATAATGCGGTGCAGCTCCTGGCGGGCTTCATCGATGCGGTCGCGGTCGGCGCAGTCCACTACGAAGATCAGACCTTGGGTCCCGGTGTAGTAATGCCGCCAGAGCGGCCGGATCTTGTCCTGGCCGCCCACATCCCATACGTTGAACTTGACGTTTTTATAAGTCACCGTCTCCACGTTGAACCCCACGGTGGGGATGGTGGTCACTGACTGGCCCAGCTTCAACTTGTACAGGATTGTGGTCTTGCCGGCCGCGTCCAACCCCAGCATGAGGATTCGCATTTCCTTGTTCCCGAAGATTTTGGATAGCACCTTCCCCATCGCGTCGGAGGAACCGGGGCCGGGGGCATTCAGGTGTCCCGTGTCCCCTCAGCCAACAACGCCGCCGCCGCTGCGAAACCGAAACGAAGCCTCCCTGCCGCGCGGGCGCCCGAGCGGCCTCCCCGGGGAGTTGCCGCCTAGGGGCAGAAGCCCAGGCCCGCTGCTCACTCGGGCATCCCCGACCGAACGCCCAGATTCCTCCAGTCGCCGCCGCTGCCGGGGCCCTGAGTCTGCGCCGGGAGAGCCGCCGCCCTGCTGAGGCGCGGCCCGGCCCGGAACTGCCCTTCCCCCCGCAGGCGCCGCACGAGCGCCGCCGCGGTTCCCGTTCCTCAGCTTTCTCCTCACCACGCACCGGGAGACTGAGGCTCACGGACCCGCCCGAGTTCCGCGAGCACCGGGTTCACCACCGACCCAGGCCACTCGAGAGGCAGCGCGGCTTCAGCACCTCGTCAGGTCATTGATCCTCGCGGGAACTCGGTTCACTGCCTGCAGAAACACAGAGAGGAAGAGGGAAGTTACTGCCCGAACTCCAAAAAAGAGCGGAGTCCGAGGGGCCCGCCTTTCCAACTTGGTCCGAGGGGTTACCTCCAGCCGCCGCCCTAAGCGCGGGCACCCTCCAGCCTCAGCCTCATCGCAGCTCTGCTGCTTCCGCCGCCGCCGCCGGAAAAGGCGCCGAGGAAACCGCCTCACTTCCCCTCCCGATTACGCAGGCGCAGCAGAGGCCGACCGTTCGGACAAGAGCGACCTCTGTAAGAAGAGCGGTCCTCGCGCCTAGCGTCATGGGCGCCATGCGCAGATGGGGCGGGGCTACGGTGGCCCAGAGAGCGCGCAGGTGCGGCCCACCGGAAGGCCCGCGAACCTCCTATTCTGACCCGAGCCCACCTGTCACTACTGTAAAGTGTCCGTCTCTTACTCTCACTCTTTTCTTTTCCGCGCGTGTCCCTCTCACTTCCACCTGCACCAGGCAGTAAATCCTCCCGCTCCCACCACGAACGCCGCCCCCACGCTATTTTCTGGCCTACTATCAGACCTCGGTGCCCACCAGATGCTCTCGGAGTTCTTTTCACCCCGCCCTAGACTCCGCGCACCCTCGGAACCACCCAGAAAAGCCTCATCTGCTGTCCTTACCTTCTCCCCGACCCCTCCTTGGCTTCCTTTATGCCTCGTGTTCCGTGTGTTTCCTGAAAGACACGTGGGTGGTCAGCATTTTGTGCGGAATCTTTCAGTCAATGTGGCGCTTTTACCGAGCTAGGTTTGCTCTGAAACCTTTATTTTGACCGGTTGAGACCTATCTCTATATATCGCGTCTGGACCAGCCCGTGTTTCATAAAACTTACTGCATTGTCAAGTATTACCATACCTTGCCGCGTTTCCAATTTTTTAGGATGTTAAAAGTTTTTATATTTAAGCGTCTCCTTGCTATGATTAGTAGTAGTTTCTCAGTAAATGCTATCAACCTAGAGGTAAAAAAGCCCGAAAGTGGTGGTGTTTTTTAAAGAAAGAATGTATAATACAACATATTATTGTATTATAATATGTTTTTATTTAGAATTTGCGAAAAGTTGATAATGGTAGATAGGCTAAATGATAACCCTCAGCATTAAATGAATTTGTTAATATCTAACAGTAATTTTGTTAACATCTGTCTTGTTAGGTGCCCTTCCGACTCAGAGACCATATATATAGGGTTTCTGAGGAGCGGCTATTGAGTTTGAACCACTGACCTCACAGCAACCATATAAAGGAGCTTTGAGTTTTAACATTTTACATATGAGGAAATGAGTCCGAGAGGTTAAGTAATTTGTTGAAGGTCACAGAACTGGTGTTAAATCATTACAACATGCTCTGAACTCAGTTGTGTTGATGACTAAATTACAGTATTTCTTAAAATGCTATATAAACTATGAAGTGCCATTGTTGTTAAGCGCTGTCGAGTCGGTTCTGAATCAGAGATCCTGTCTGGAGATTGCGAGGAAAGGCTCGTGAGTTTGAACCGCAGATCTTGCGGTTCAAACTGACCTTTTGATCCAGTGCTTATCCCCCATAGTAGCATTAGTTATTGTATTTGGGGAAATAAAATTTTAATATGAGACAAAAAATTGCAAATAACACTCTGGTCCATTTGAACATAATAGTTTCCTCAAAACATTACAAGTTTATTTTTACAAGAAGGTGTAACATTGAACCACTATGCTTAGAGTACAAACACACATACACTCAGGGTCTTCAAAAAGTTTCTGGGAAAATTCCATAATATTTCAATTCCATTTTTCCATGAACTTTTTGCAGCTTTTGTGTGTGTGTGTGTGTGTAAGGAACAGCTGGTGGGTTTGAATCGCCAACCTTTAGGTTAGCAGTCCAGTACTTACCCTACAGTGCCATGCCAGGACTCAACATACACATAGATGTTTACGCAAGACTTGTAGTTCATACTCACCAGTCGCTCCTTGGAAACTCTACAGGGTGGCTATGAGTGGAAACCTATACAATGGCCCTTAACATATATGTATGTAGTGTTGTTAGGTGTCTTTGAGTAAGTTCCTACTCAGTGACCATGTGTATAACAGAAGGAAACACTGCCTGGGCCTGCTCCAGTCGCACAATCGGCCCTATGTTTGAGCCCATGGTTGCAGCCACTATGCAGTCCATCTTGTTGATAAACACACACGCATACATATGTACACTGGTGGGGGCTTCAAAAAGTTTGCTTAAAATGGAACTGAAAGCTAAAAGAATTTCCCACAAACTCTTTGAAGCCCCCTTGGATACTTGAAAGCTTTTATTTTTCAGTGGAGGGCGTGATATAATTAAAAACAGAAACAATATGAAGCACTGGCATCTACAGGCAATATGAGACACTGGTGCTATGCTAGGGCTAAAATATTTCATTTTAAAAGCAATTTCTTATATATATCCTTTCCAGAATGGAAGTTTCATGGAGGCAGGGACTTTGTCTTGTTCAATATTGTGTCCCAGTGACTGGAAGAAAGCATGAAAATAATAGCTACATTATTATGTGATTGAATTTATTTGAATCATTATTTGAATGCCTTTTATAATACCACAAGGTAAGGCAAAACAAAAAAGGAAAAGTGCCTACTATTTATGTTAAGTATTAAGTTAATGTTATATCATTGGCAAGCTTTTCATGCAGTGACATTCCTTAAGGTATTTAGATATCGAAAGTGGATCATCATACTAAAAATAAATTATTTTAAGTAATAATAACAACACAACACATTATGATAATGGCTGAAAAATACAATGAAACATTTTAACTTTGTATGTATAATCATACCTGTTTAAAATAAACAAAAAAACCCCAGTAAATTTTAATGAAACCAAAACATCTGCAGAAAGTAACAATTTAGACCATAACTAAATCATACCACTGAGGTAGCATTTTATTTTCTTGATTTATTCCTTAGTTTTAAAGCTATTAATAATTTTAAAAGAGTATATTTCGATTTAAAAATACATTTTCCATTCAGTAAAATGTTTATGGATAAAATACAACGAGCATATGTGGAACAAAATAGATAACCTTTCAATTTGCATTGTTTCAAGGTATTTAATTTTAAACACAAGCTCCAAAAGCTAACTGATCTCTGCTTTTAGTTTAAAGCCTGTAAATTAAGCGATTTCTTTAGTTTACTTATAAGCCATGCTTCACTAGAAAACATCATTTTATAATTTCTAATCTGTCTGACAACCACATAAAATATGCTTATGACATTCTGAGTAAAACACTACCATGTTGTTGTTAAGTGCTGTCGAGTCAATTCTGACCCATAGCAATCCTGTGTAGGGTTTCTGAGGAGCAGCTGGTGAGTTTGAACTGCCTACCTTGCAGTTCAAACAGCTTTGCAGTCTAGCGTATTAACCCACACCAGGACTCCAAATACTAGCTTAGAAGAAAAATACTTGCTTTTAAAAATGGCTTATATTTTCTGAATTTAAACTGAAATGAATGATGACAACTCAGAAGAATAATTTAGGGGAGAATGAGATGGTGTTGATGGTGAAATAGTTTGTAAAGGTTGTTAAAAAGTGTAGCACAACGTGTGTAGAAATTGTTGAAGTGGTATATATTTTGTTGTATATTTTCACTGAAATTTTTTAATTCAATGAATGAGGCTTCTCTAATAATAGTAACACTACTCACTACTTACCCCTATCTCTGAATTGCTATGGCTCTTAATCCTTCAGTATTTCAACTCAAGATGTGAATTTTGCCTTCAGCTCTTTCAACTGTGTGAAATGTCAAGCGTTCTCTTCCCTGTGGTTTTCTAATTACAGGTCTTGCACATTTCATTATACTCCTAATAGTTTGTCTTCTTGAGTCATCCTGTGAAATCTTCTATTCAATTCTTTTACTTCATCATTTCTTTCTTTTGCTTTAACTACTCTATGTTTAAGAACAAGTTTCATAGTCTTTTCTGACATTTATTTTGGTCTTTTCATTTTTTCTTTTCTGTCGTTTTAATGACCTTTTGCATTCTCTGTGGATGCTGTCCTTGATATTATCCCACAACTCATCTGGTCTCCAGTCATGGTCATATTTGTTCAATGCACCAAATCTACTCTTGAGATGATTTCTAAATTTAGGTGGGATTATATTTAAGGTTGGAATCCTAGTATGGCACTGTGGGTTAATGCATTGGACTGCAAAATCAGTTTGAACTGCAGGTTAGCATTTCAAACTCACCAGCCTCTCCTTGGAAACCCTATACAGACTCACTGTGGGTCAGAATCGACTTGACGACACTTGACAACATCAACAACAATACTTAAGGTTGTACTTCTGCTCTCATAGACTTGTTTTCATTGTCTTCAGCTTCCACTTGAACTTGCAATTAAGCAATTGCTGGTCTGTTCCACAGTCAGCTGCTGCCCTTGTTCTGAATGTTGATGTTAGGTTTCTCCATTGTCTTTGTCCACAGATGTAGTCAATTTGATTTCTATATATTCCATCCAGTGAGGTCCATATACATCGTTTCTGTTTATATTATTGATAAAAGGTATTTCTAATGAATCTTCAAAAGAAGATAGATGGAATACACAGAGTCACTGTACCAAGTATGTTCAACCATTTCAGGAGGTAGCATATGATCAAGAACCAATAGTACCAAAGGAAGAAGTCCAAGCTGCACTGTGAAGGAATTGGTGAAATATAAAACTCCAGAAATAGAATTCTAAATGAGATGTTTCATCAAGCAAGCCATGCTGGAAGCATTCACTCATCTATGCCAAGAAATTTGAAAGCTATCTGCCTAGATGTCTAGAAGAGATCCATATACATGCCTATTTCCAAAAGAATGCAGAAAGCAGAAATTAATGAATAATATCAAGATGACATGCAAGTAAAATTTTGCCAAAAATAATTCTAAAACTATCGCAGAAGTACATCAATAGGGAACTGGCATAAATTCAAGACAAATTCAGAAGAGGATGTGGAATGAGGAATATCATTGCTGATGTCAGCTGGATCTAGGCTGAATGCAGAGAATATCAGATCTTTTTGACTATGTAAAGGTATTTGACTGTGTGGATCATAACAACGGATAACATTGCAAAGAATGGGAATTCCAGAACGCTTAATAGTACTCATGTGGAGCCTGTACATTGTTTAGAGTCAGTT